GCCATCATTAAGATGGGCATCACATAAAATAATATTTATGGAAATGAACTTCAGGAAATGGAAACAAGAGGCCTTCCTTTCTCTTTCTTTTCCTTCCTTCCTTCTTTCTTTCTTTCTTTTTCTTTTTTTGTCCTGGGCTTGAACGCTGGGCTTGGGCACTGTCCCAAGCCCAGCTCTTCAGCTCAAGGTGAGTGTTCTACCACTTGAGCCATTGTGCCAATAGAGTCTCACAGACTTTCCTGCCCAGGCTGGCTTTAAACCATGACCCTCATATCTCAGCCTCCTGAGTAGCTAGGATTACAGGTGTGAGCCACCAGCGCCTGGCCATGAGAGGCTTTTATTTCTTTGTTGCTCTTTTTGTCTTCTTTACCTTTTATCCTATTTATCTGTCTGGGGGAGGGGGGAGGTGGTGCAGAAATGATGGAACAAAGAGTGAACAAATTCAGCAATCATACTCACTAGACATTATATAGAAAATGAACTATACCACTTGTGGGAGGAGATGGGAGGGAAAAACTGGGAGAGAGTGAGGGAAGGGGTGAAATGTATTCCTGGGCATTGATGGCTCATGCCTGTAATCTTAGCCACTCAGGAGGCTGAGATTCAAACCCAGCCTGGGCAGGAAAGTTCATGAGCTCTTCTCTCCAATAAACCCTCAGAAAACCAGAAGTGGCACAGTGGCTCAAAGTAGTAGGAAATAGTTCCTCCACATTGTTGGGACAATGGGTCTGTGACAACAGGCCCAGCTGGTGTGTTAAGATGGTCTCTTTACATTTGCCTGGCTGGCCTTAAACTACAGTTCTCATGCACTCTGCCTTCTTAGTATCTGGGATTACAGGCATGTACCATCATGTCCAGGTTGGATTTAATTTTTTTAAAAAGAAGTGTGCTACCCAATTTTTGTGGAATTTCATTAGTGAGCACAAGTTCAAACCTTTACTTTAGACTAGAACATATACTAGAACCTGCTAGTTCTGAGTCTTTTGATCATTGGTCCACTGGGAAAATTCAGTTTATCTTTGAAGTGAAATTTCAGGAAGATTTTTAAAACGTCACCCAACTGTTATTGTATAGCTTCTTGTATTTATCACATTGTGGCCAAATATAATAATGCTATGTGATTAAAAGCTGCGTAGTTAAAAGCATAGAGATTTGTTTAAAAGATTGATCCCTGAATCTACTTTCTTGCCATTATGTTGGCCAAGCATCAAGGTAATATGGGGTCTAAGAGGGCAAATATTATCTGTGCTAAGAGATGTAAGACCAGCATCTTGCTCAGGCCTTACCTGTAGCTCATGAAGAACCCCGGAGAAGGAGAAGAGGTATGGCTTCGGCAGATGCGCTCTTGCCCATACCAGACTCTCCATCCTCATTTCTGTTCACTCCCTCCCAAATCTTGAGGTGGCTGAATTAAAAGATTATTGTGTTTCTAGAACACAGGACTAAATCAGCCTTTACAAAATTAATGTAATTACTACCTTGATTTCCAGACGTTAACTTAATGTCAGCCTATTAAAACTCCAAAGATGAAGCTCAAAACAAATAAACATTCTGCATAAATACCCAAATAAAGACACACTAGCAAATTCAGTAATAATCTGAGGCAATAGTACAAAACTCCAGAGAGGGCATTTTAGAAATAGATCTCACTATCACTGACTGAGATGACAGAATTTTGTAGGCTTTCTTCAGGCTATCTTTCCAAAGAGCTGCCAAATTTCTAACCCCTCCTAGTCTTTTGTCTTTTTCTACTTTTCCCTCTTTCCTGTCTACCCTCTACCTCTCTCCAAACTGTGTATGGTTTCTTCTGGATATGAATGTTATGTCTCATTGGATCTTATAGCTTTATCATGGATGTAAAGGTCAAGAAAAATAAATCACTGCTCCCGTTTCCTTCCCCATACCTGGCGCAGGGCAGGAGGCCCTGCAGGTATACCACCCTTACAGCTCTGCCTACAACCTGCCTTTACCACTTCCTGACCTTTATCCTTGAGTGTGAATTAGGAAGTGGTCTGCGCTAGGAGTGGTGAGCTGTTGCTTGAATTCTTTTCCACCTTTGAAATACAAATGGGCAGAGTTCACAGGCACAGTGGCTGGCACATTGCAAAGGTTTGGTAAATGGTATTATTGTTGTTAACGCTGGGCCTTTTTCTAGTTTCTACTCATAACTGTTGAAATCATTCTTTTTGCTCTTTAGGATTAACTTTTTACATCCTAATGTGATTTCGTCCTTGTGTTATTTCTTCCTTTTTTTTTCTTTTGTCTGTTGTGGGACTTGAACTCAGGGCCTGGGTGCTGTCCCTGAGCCTCTGTGTGCTCAAGTTTGTGCTCAAATTCTTAGAGCTGGTAAACAAATTGCTTAGTCTGGCACGTCTGGTAAATCAGGTGGACTGGATACAGGAGGCCCAGCCTAGATTTCCCCATGTTTTTATACAGATTAACCTGATTCTTCAACTATACTAGAACTTAGATGTTATATGTTCCTTGCAAAGCATAGATGGGAATTAGGAGTGGACAACAGTACAAAATGAACAGTTTAAATCAATGTTTCATTCATTTAAGAAAGTACAAATAGATTGTGTGTGTGTGTGTGTGTGTGTGATGTTTGAGAAAGAGGGAGCAACAGAGAAACACAGGCAGAAAGAGAATACATGGTGTTCAAACACAAAAATGTTTCTAACGGACTAGTAAATAAAAAAAAAGTAGCTGTCCCTGAGCTGCTTTTGCTCAAGGGTTGCACTGTACCACAGTGCTACTTCTAGCTTTTTCTGAGTGGTCTATTAGAGACAAGTGTCACGGACTTTCCTGCCTGGGTTGGCTTCAAACTATGATGCTCAGCTCTCAGCCCTCTGAGTAGTTAGGTTTACACGTGTGAGCCACCAGCACCTGGCTTCCTGTTATTTCTGTAAATTCCTGAAAGGTGAGATGGACAAAAACCCAAGTTACAACTCACCAGCTTATAGTCGGACTCTAAGTGACCAATTTCACATGATTCATTTTTTGGTATTAGAGTGTTGTACAATTGTTGTTAATGTAATCTTAAATTAATCTTATACTTTTTTGTTGTTGTTGTTGGTTGTGGGGCTTGGACTCTGGGCTTGGGCACTATCCCTCAGCTCTTCAGCTCAAGGCGAGCGTTCTACTGCTTGAGCCAAACGCCACTTCCCGTTTTCTAGTGGTTTATTGGAGATAAGAGTCTCATGGACTTTCCTGCCCGGGCTGACTTTGATCATCAGATCTCAGCCTCCTGAGTAGCTAGGATTATAGGCGTGGGCCACCAGTGCCCGGCTTAATCTTATACTTTTTATGTGTTATATTATTTTTTATTATAATCTTTGTAGTAAGTTAATGTCATCTTTATATTGATCCAAGCTCGTTTCAAGTGATTTTTTTACATCCCAGTTTTAGCTTTTATTGATTTAGCCCATCCATCGAGCAATAGCCAAGCTACAGACTCTTGGAGATAAATTTCTAATTATATGCCTCTCCATTTCTTCACTTTTTTGTTTGTTGGTTTTTCATTTTGTGCCCGTCCTGGGGAAGCCACAGTTCCACTTCCAGCTTTCTGGTAGTTAATTGGAATAAGAATATCATGGACTTTCTTGTTTGGGCTGGCTTTGAACCATGATTCTGAGTAGCTATGATTACAAGTGAGAGCCACCAGTGCCCGGCCCTTTCCTCTCTTTTTAACATTCTTTCCTGATTTGAAACACCATTCATGAAACAGAATGTAACTGTTGGAAAATGTACTTATATCATTCAAATTTATTAGTTTCCAACTCACAGTGAGGACATAGAGCTAAATGTCTATAACTTTTGTAGACTGATACTTTCTTCTTTTTTTTTAGGGTTTCAGTGGTTTCTTTTATTAGTATTATAAAGGTGATATGCAGAGGGGTTACAGTTCTACAAGTCAGGTAATGGACACATTTCTTCTTTGGACAGTGCCACCCCTTCCCTCTTTCTCTAGGCACTTTATTCTCAGAGGATTTATGTCTACTGATAGAAAGGTTTGGAAAACAATCACTGATAGCAACATTCTTTGAGAGGCAAATGAAATCTACTTATTCAATACCTAAAACATCTAAAATCGATTCCATCCAAGCTTGGTTATTTTTATTCCCCCAAGATAAAAATTTATATTGACCAATTCTTAATAACTAAGAAGGTTATTCTGCATAGGAAGTCAAATAAGGAAATATAAAAATGGACTGATGAACTGTTCTTTTAAATTGATGTATACAGATACATGCCTGCCCTTATTAGGAAGGTATGTAATTGTCTACAAACTTATTAATGATTCTTTTTGCTAATACTAATGAACTGGATAAAAAGATTAGGGGATATCTTATAGCCAATAGCTTCAATGTGGGGAAAATCATTGGCTTTGATGTGTGTGTGTGGGGGCACACAGATAAAAGTGATTATACCAGACTCAGTGGCACACTCATAAGGATCTGAACCTCACCCCCTAGGAGGGACCTAGTGTATTTTCCATCGCAACTGCTCCTTCCACAGCTTTCTCTTACACTGACTCTTGGAAAACTTGTTTTATTGCTTCAATTGTTTTAAGTTGAAAGTAGTATAACACCTTGCCTGACCGGTTTGGCAACATTCTTTTCTCTCTCCCCCCTGTGATATTATTAGAGCCATTTCCTATGCTTGTACTTTGAGGAGCTCTGCACTAGCATATTCAGGACGGTTAGCATTTTCCAGGTTCTTTATTTAGGCTCATTGAGAGGTAGAAGTACCATCCAAAGGAATTCCAATTGTTTGGACTTATACATTTTGCCTGTATATAATTTCTCACTTCCTGCTGAGTTCACACAACTTATACTTCTTTGTGACTGAATCACTCACTTTGTTTGAAGTATTGCTACAGAAAAATTGTTAGATTTGGGGTCTTGAGTTGTCTTGCTGATGTTCTAAATGATCAAAAGTATTATGCTACATCTTCTTCTGTATGTAAAGCCATTTTTTGGTGTTTGGGGAGAGCTTACCTTGTCTGACAGCTAGGGTAGTGGTATAGACCAAGAAGAGAAGGATGTAGTTGAGGAAACTCTGGAAGACTGGTGTATTGGCATGAAAATCTTCTGACAGGTACTTGCTGGTCAAGCCAATTCCACAAATAAGGAGGGATAACACCTGGCCCAAAGCCACAGAGATTAACATCTCCCTAAGGAATGAAGATAAACATAACAAAGGTCAGCCAGAAAGTCTATTGGAACAATAGCAATTAAAATATAGGGGTTACCCATAGCAAGTATTAGATTCAAAGCAATCCCTTTCAGTCCATTATGGCAATTCCAAGAAAGAGGTGTAATTATTAATGAGGCTTCACAAAGTTGGAAGTCAAGGCTTAAATTGGTTAAGGAATTCGGTAACAGTCACATAACAAGAAAATGGCCAAACTTTGATATTCGAAGAAGGAAATCGTCTCCTAGATACTGCATCCCAAAGAAATGAACACTACTTTGATACCTACCATAGGGTTAACTGATTGTGTAATGATGCTGAGAAACTCAACACTGGGAGTGACCATACTTTAGCCTCATGTTCAAGTTCATATGTTAATAAAGGGAGAGCCTTTCCTTTATACAGCAGGTCCAGAAAAACCTTTGTAGAAGGGCTATACAATCCCTGAAAATCCAGAGGGACTATCACTTATATACTCCTGGACTTTAGATTTCAATTTGTTCTAGGAAGTTTTAATAAGCATTAGGTCTCTGCTTTCTTCTCAAGGCACAATTGCCTATATATTAAAGCTGCTGTTCCTGAAGTCTATTTAGTACCCCAACAATGCAATAAAGCTGTTTGAACTATATAAATCTCTGCTTTGTTTCATAGGCAATATCGCTGTAGATCTGGAGTGGAGAATGGATGCAAAGGTTAACGTGTTCACTTTGCATGGAAATGCAGTTCCACATCAGCCTGATAACAATGCACACACGCGTGCTCTGACTTAAGGAAAGCACATATAAAATACAAAGCCGACTTCTGTCCTCCCTGGAAGTCTCAGCTGACTTTTCTAGTTTATTTATAGAAACAGCAGTATAAAGTAAGAACCAGTAGCATTTCTAAACAGAAAAGCTTCAGGCAGAGGATTTGTGGTGATATGTATTTTCTCCATGACAAATGTGAATCCATTTTTTTTTTGAAGGAGCCCAGAGTCTTGGCAGTCATCGGATGGTATTTGATTTAAAACAATCACTCGTTATACTTTCCATTTGGTTCTATAAGGAGGAAAAATTATGTCAAGGCCTGTAGGACCTTGGAGGGTACTTTCCTGACGTTTACCTATTGCCAAGTATTGGTCCCTGACCACCGAATCCAATGTCTACAAGGAGTTAAGACATATTTTTTAAAACACGCCTGTTCAAATCATCAATATGCTACTTAACATCCTTATTGAATGCAGTGATCTATGTAGAAGCCTTTGGTAGAAGACATTTTTAAAAAGTTAACTGTCAATATCCCCTTTACATTCATTTGGTTCATCTCAAGGGAGGTCTATTTCTCTTTTTCTGGAGGCCAAACTGGTTTGTGCCTTGCTTTGCCTGACAGAGCATAGAGGAAGGATTGCTATGTGACTTCTGGGTCTAAGTATTAAGAATCTCGTCGCCTTCCATAGTGTGCCCTTCTAGGAAATAAAAAAGCATGTGGCAGGTACATGAATAATTGCAAAATCACAGAGAAATGACGTGAAAAGCTCAGCCAGCCCTTGCTGCCTCAGCTGACATGCCAGGCATATAAGTGGACATTCCAGATCCTTCTACTTCAGTAAAAGTATGCAAACCAATGCCACATGGAGGAGAGATAAATCATCCCCAGAGATGGTTGCCCAATCTGTGAGAAAGATAAAACAAGGTTGGTTTAGGACATGCAGTTTCACAGTGGTTATACGCAGCAGATAAATGAAATGGTAGTGTAATATCTCTCTCTCTCTCTCTCTCTCTATCTCTCTTCCTTCACCCTATATTATTCCTCCATGAAGCCAGAGTGCCACCCTCATGGAGTTACTTGTACTTCAACAGTGAGTCAATGGCTTCTTTGCATAAGTTATTATTTCCAGAATGCTCATCTTCATCACGTCTTTACCAGTCTGACTCCTACTCATCTGTCAAAAATTGGCTCATCTGTCAACCTCTTTGAACAGCCTTTCCTGCTTTCTCTCCCCTGGGATATATCTCCTTCAATGTTTCTATCTCATTTCATGGTAAAGATTGCTTTTCTGCTTTTGACCTTCGCTACCCTATGAAGTCTGTGCAATGTTCTTCAGTGCAGCTACAGTCAGGCAAAGCCACTCAGAGGGAGGAGAAAGCGAAAGATTAAAAGAATGGCTTATAAGAATGACAGGTTAATTGAGAAAGAAAAGTCAGTGGTGCTAAAGGATATAACTCACTTAACCTGTGGACTGCTTGCCTCACAGAGGCCAAACACACCCACAGAAAGGTAGAGATAATGGGAGGAATCAGAACTGGAGACTCACGTGTTTTTAAGGCTAAGAGAAGTGTAGTACTAATAAGAAGTCTGTTCCATGTATACTGAATTTGAGCTGCCACATGAACTTCCAAATGATCCAGCAGTATTAGGAATGTGGATCATAGGCTGGATAGGAAGGTGGGCAAGAAGACAAATAAGCAGCAGTTATACTAATAAAAGGGATGGCTAAAGTATTGGGAAACAAACAGTATCACCTAAGAAGGGAGAGACCAAGAGAAAATAAAGAGTCCAGGAAAACTTTTGGGAAATTCTACGGCTGTGATTGGAAGAGGGAGAAGAGTCACATTACTAGAGTGAGAAGCCATTACAGGGTTGTGTCAAAAACTCAAGAAAACAGAGATATTCATAGAGGAAATCATTGTTATACTAAATGTGGCTTTGAGGGTAGAGAAAATGAGAAGTAGCAAGAGATTATTTGTAGTAACTGCCTGTCTTTAAAAGTTTTGGTTGAGTATGGAATGCCAGAGTAAAACTGGTATCATGGAAACTAGGGTAATCCATGGGATGCCTAGTGTTTACTGAGTAGATAGGAAGTGGTAAGAAATACTTCACAGCATTCACAGAATTTTTGAAGATGTTTTATCTAGTCACCATGTAATATGATACTAATCATAATAGTTCAAAGAAGGATTTCAATTATTCAAACATTTACAGTGCACATATAATTGTCTTATCCTTGTACCACTCTGGATTATTTTCTTAATAACTTTGATCCATAAGTGGAAGAGATTTGAGAAGAGATACAGCTCTTATAGCAGAGTTGTTTCTAGACAGTACTGATCATCCCCATTCCCAGTGGGGAGCGCTGTATACAGAACATGTCTCCTTGGAAAATGAAGCCCCAAACTACTGCTATGACCTTGTGATTCCTACAGTTTTAAGATTACAATCATAAATCCCAAACTTCAGTAACATCTGGCCCTTTCCTAAACAAAATTAAGACAAAATTTTAGACTACTTATATAGAAAAATAAAATTTTTAGTCTTTCTTGTCTATTTGCAGACATTCTATAAAACAGTGCAAACAACACCATATATACCAAAAGTAAAGAAGACATAGTCCTTATCATTGGAGAGCTGTTGAACTAAAATTTTGGAAGAAAGATTCCCAAATAACTTAGCACAAAATGGGGGCAATTAGGTAAAGTATCAACCGTTATTTATATTTAGTAAGTTCTTACTATGTGCTAAAGCCTAGGTTTAAACTTACCCTACTATCTTGTCTGATCCTCAGAGTAAGCTTACATGGAAGACACCATTATTGTTCCATCTTAACTGCTATAAAGAGAAGACAGGGAGGTAGCCCAGGGTGAAGGAGATACTTCCCTTTGCATTTGTCATTCTGGGAAGCGTTTAGATGCAAACTAGGTAATAGAATTCCATGTCCCAACTGCTACATCCCAGCTACGACAGATCATCATTGTTTGGCCCAAATCTCTACTCTCATAGAGTGTACACAGCAGAGACTTAAACCAAGAGGCTAGTTTCCAGAAACATTTTGGAGAAGGTAAAAAGAAAATAAAGCAACAAATTAACAAAAAGGAGATCAGCTGATCTCTGATGAAAAATCTCCTACCAAGGTATCCATATAATGTGTGCCTTGACAACAAGTGGTCAACACAAGCCTATTCTTGTTTCTTTAGCCAAATGCAACAGCAAATCTGCTGTGTACAATTGCTGCTTTTAATTAGTGGCCGTGTCATTCAGTTGCTGTTGATGTGATTTGATAGAGAATGCACAGTATGCTTTTATGGGTCAAGCTAATGAATACAATGTGTAGAAGAGGAAGGAATGGAAGGAACCTGCTGTCAGATTAGTTCACACATCCTTTCCTAAAAGAAAGGAGCTAGACACTATAGCTATTATAGCTTGCATGTCTTGAGTCAGTTACTAGAATCATCAAAACAAAATGAAGCATAAACTAAAATATCCAAATGTTAACACTGTGCTATTTCCTCTACCCTGACATCGTGCCCTCATCAAACTCTCTTTTCCTTTTACAAGGACAGGATAAAAATTCATTTGATGATATCTTTGTACAGAGATGTCTCTATTACCTATTTTAGGGATCTCTTTAATTCATTTACTATTATATATTCTAACTACTGCTTTTCACCGAGGCCTCCCAATTTGGCATCTCAAGTAATAAACACAGTTAAAATTTGGTCTCTTTAACTAACTCCTCATAGCCTCATGGCATTATCTTGTTGAGATAGCTTGTTGGCCACTCTGTGTTCCACAAGGCTGTTAACTGTCCCCATCTATATGTCCTTATCTCTGCCTGCACACATTATACATTATAGCTCCTGAGCTCCTAAATAGAAGGGAATGTTAATTACATCTCTGTTCCTAGTGCCTTGAGAACTGTCAGACAGAAAAGAAACAGATGCCCAATAAGCATAGACTGAATGAATCTTTGGGTGAGCAAGTATCTGTGAATAAAAAGGGAAGAGTCTTGAAAGATTTGAAAGATGGCTGCTTATCTTCAAAACCCACTGGCTTTAAAAGACAAAAAATAATCTAATTTTTACTGTATCCCATCTGCCAGTTAGACACTGAGATTAATATGCTATTTTCTAGTACATTCTCAAACAAGCCTAGTAAGGTGCTATCTTGCAAAAATGAGGCTAAATAAGGTACAGAGTGAAATTGTAGCTGTTGGTTATTCATATAG